GCTTCCGGTGAGCTTTCTACCCAGAAAAGCTCACCGGAAGCACTTTTTTACCAAAAAAAGATGGCGGCGCCCAGCAACCAGCAGCCCGGTAAGAGTTGTTCCGCGGACCGGTATCGATCCGCGGACTGGCGGTTGGGGACCCCTGAGCTAGAGGGGTTAGGAAAACAGCATAAAAAGCACTGAGAGGTAGTTGTTCTCAACAGTAACTTTGTTCGGCATCTCCATTTTTCCCTATCGGGATTGGAAGTGCTGCAATAAACTTCAATATTCACCAAAATGCTTGTGAGTAACATTGTTTGTCTGCAAGACTTAGCCAGTACCCAACTGGGGCTGAAACCTGGCCTGATAAGTTAATTCTACTTCAGTGTAATGCAATGTTAACAGAATCATTCAAGCCTGAAAGTACAATACACCTGCCATCAATGCTCCTGTTTTACAGTCCAATAACTTAGAGAAGGTTTCTCCAGAGTTTTTTGCTCAATCCATTATACAGCTGTGGCCTATATTCCCTGTTATCTGACTGTTCCCTAGGCAGTGTCTATTCACTCAGTCTCTGAGGTAATTCCAAATATAATTACAAATGTCTCTTGTTGATGTTGAACCAAAAGATCTGTAAAAATGCATGCAACTTATTTAGGCTGAAGCCCTATGCACATTTATCTGAAAGTGAGTGTTGTTGATGTGAATGTTCCAGGTATACACAATAAAATTACATTGTCAAGCATCATATTTCAATTGTTAAAAATAATAGGTTATCTTTAGAATCTCATGAAGGAAGAAAAGGCATTCAATAATGACCAGTATCAATTTTTAAAGACATTTTCAGATTAGTCACAGGATTTATCAATCATCCTCTTTACAAAAGTTGCAGTATGAAGTGTAGATTACCTCCACGATGGTATACCCCAGGCAACATTCTGTCTTAACAGAGCAGCAGAACAAAAGTCCATACACCTGGCAACTAAACTGAATATTGCATCCTTCATGTCAAAAACCATAGAGGCAGCATGATTGCATGACTTCTGTAGATGCCATACAATAAGCAAACAAAAAATAAATAAAATTTACAAAAATTCAATAGAAAAATTGTATAAAATTGTGCAGTCAAATACAGAAACACGGACTTCAAACAGTAAGCACGATCTTCAAATTGAATATTTCAGAATAGATTTCAACAGTGCTTACCTAAATAAAACATGGAAAAAATAATAAAATAAAAGGAAAACACACTTTAAAAAACAACAGCTGGAAAGCTATCAGAAACATATGCAGAGTTGTTCTAATAATTCCAAACCATCAAAAATTAGTGTTAGGTATAACATTGATACCAAATATAGTTTGGGTGAATAAATAT